CGGGGGGGGGGGGTTGGTGGGGGGCATGCTCCTGGAAGATTAGGGTGAGATGACGAACACATGACTATCTCATTAAGTCTGCCTTTGTGCGTTTTTGCTCTCAAATTCCTATATCTCGATGGTTTATTCATTGTTTAGATACCAAAGTCGTATGTCATGATGCTTGTCAATATAAAATCAACTGTTTTTAGGATCTTTGGTGACAACCTCTGGCATCTCTGATTTTGAGGTTTTTCCAAGCTTTTGCTTCATGACATAAATACTTGTGGGGGGTAGGCTAAACCTTCATGACTTAGCCGCCGCAATTTGGAGGTAGTTTTCACAAGTCCTTTGTCATTTCAGCCTAGTATATATATATATATAAGCTGGGCGGTCTAAAGGACGACTGCTGGTACAACAGCATAAACTTGCCAAAAAACAACGGTTGCGTTCAATTTGAATCAAAAAACAAAACTTCTGCTGTCCCTGCAGGTGAGAAATTGGCCCTGCTTACCACCAAACCCCTGCCCGCAAAGCCTTCCTCGAGCATTGTTTCCGACTCAGTTGCTTGAATTCCGTTGTGGCAAGACATTTTACAGGGAAGCTCTCAACCAGTACCGGTATTCTTGACTATTGATGTCAAGCTCATACGGGTATGCTCACAAAATTCAATGGAGCTGTGTTTTTCATGAATGTGGCTGGCTATAGCCAAGAAAAGGATGCAATCAAAACACTGCTGTCGGGAGCACCGGCGAAAACGCGAAAACCGACGAAAACGGCGAAAACCATGTTGAAGCCGAGATTTGTTTAGTTCACCTTTGTTTTCCCATGCTCTTGGTGTTCTTGGTTTTACACCGCTGCACTTGTACTTGCACATGAAGCTATTTAGGCCTTTGATTACTCAGGCTTCTTCTAGACCTCTGGCCCAGGTGGCCTTCGCACGACCTCAATCCTAAGAGTGTGCTTCCCAGTGTGTCTGCAGCATTTAAGGTCAAAAACTCGAGTGTCTAGTACTGGTTTGATTTCATCTTCCTGCACTTGCAGCATACTATACACTTACAAAAAATGACCCTTAAATTGGAAGTTTGAACGTCAATGAGATTGAATTACAAAATCCAGATGTGGAACGCATAATCTTGATCTACTATTCAAATGAATAGACCAACATCACCAACGGCTTGGAGTCTAGAGCTGTTCTCAAGTCACCAATGACCACTAAAGAGCTCATGCTGAGCTGTTTCTGAAGAGTTGTTCAATTCTAGGTACACTTTGTGTCCAACCAAACCTCAGGTCTCTCTTCAAGCCGGTGTGGTGTGTGCGGTTCGAAGCTGAGTTTATAAATACAAACGTGGCAGGTGTGCGGATGCCAAATGGACCATAAGCGAATGGCCGCGAAGGGTCGGGATGGAAAGGCCGCGCTAGGCCGTTCTGCAACAGCATTACGCTACGTTAGGCCTTTGGGACAGTGACGTCCAAGACGGGGGTCATCCAGTCAGGGAATCCGTTGCCAATTTGCTTGGCCGATTGCTTCCTTGATATTCCAGATTTGGGAACCAGGATATATATTTCAATTACCAAAGCAAGCATACAGCAGCATACGTAGTTTATTTCCAGACAAGTGTAAAGCCGACAACTTCTTCAGTTTTTACAGGTGCCCAGGAATCCCAAAAGGAGAATCAAATGCTGGGAAAGCCTTAGCCACCGGAGCACAGAAGGGTATAGTCGGTATAGTGCATCTTTCCCACTATTTTGAGCAACGGTTCGTGTGCCAGCTACTGTTTCGCAGTGATTTGCTCAAGCGCAATGTTGATAGTTGAACGATGTTGAATTCTTGCATGCTCAATAGGGCTCGGAAGGCCCTAGATTGGAGTTGAGTCTGCAGCGCATGTTGATTTCTCTGGATTGCGTTGATGCAAAGAGAGGAAAATGAAAGCGACAAAAGCCTAGGTCAGAAATGGACATGTGGTGAAATGGAGCGGGACAAATTGGCCAACTTTCATCGGGAAGAAGAACAATGCCCGAATGGGAATCTGATGGAATCTGGGAGTTCAATCTGCTCCATACACCTGTGCACAAGCGGTGCATGGCACACTCCGTCAATGGTATTTTTGGTATCCCCCTAAGGTATGATGGTTGATTCTGTTTGATTCTTGTATGTTTTTGCTTGATATTTGTCCTACTGTAGCATTATTGCGGCCGCTAGAAAAATGAAGGAACCCTTGATATAAATCAATACTAGCTACGAGTACTGGTACTGGTGCTGTAATTGCTTTGAATGACTTGTTTTCTTGTGTCCGAGTGCCTCTCAGGACTGGGGCTTTCCCAAACATGAAACATCGTGAAACATTGCTGCAATCCCTTGGGCAAACAAAGGAATCCGCATCCAATGCTTCGTCAAGCTCTCCGCTTCTCAGATGCGTGCAGACCATTGGCCCCATGCACCATCAGTGCAGTCGGACTCCGAACACCTTCACCAGCGGATGACAAAGCAACAAGCTGCCGCCATTATATATATTTATTTATTTGTTTAGTATATTATACAGTAATATAATATAATATAATATAATATAATATAATATACTGTAGTATAATATAATATAATATATTATATTATAGTTTTATTTTCGGTTGTTTTTTGCACTCTGCCAAGTAGTTACAGTTCACGGGAGAAGATGCCAGTAGGGCTATGGGAACCAGGTTGCCCATGACAGCAAAAGATTTGAGATCTCGGGGCATCAAGTTAGCCACCTTTGACTTGAACCGAATGCATGCTTGAGATTCTCCTGGGGATGAACTGTGCTGTAATTGTTGTTGTGGGACAGAATCCTGCCCGCTCTGATTCCATAGATGTTCGCTGCGCCTGTCCATCTCATGTAATGCAAATGAAATATCATGTTGGACAATCTTTGCACCATACCAACAATTGGTCACAGCCTTGGCTAGCTATCTACTTCGCGATGCCCTTTGGAAAACATCCTGACTCAAACAGAGATAAACTCTACCACTTGCCCTGAGCATGTCCAAGGCACTTTTGAGTGTTGCAGGGTTCCACTGCTTCCTTAATCTCGGCGTCACATTGCCTGTCCAGCCATATCAGTCTTGACAAATCGAACAAAAAAACTCTGCTGCAAACTGCTGAAAGAGTTAGCCTGCCATGCTTGTTTGGCACCTGGGGGCATACTGAGAATCGAGAAGTCAACAAGGAGGCTGCAAGTCTGGTTGTCAAATACTAAATAGATTTAATCGTTATCATAATTCAGCACCCAAGCGCAAGCGGTAAATTGGGTTAAGCTCTGCACTGTCTGGATATGGCGAGTGCGAGTCCGCATCCCACCCGCCTCAGAGTTTCAATGAGTAAGACCCAAGGCACTCCACTTCAGCCACTTACACAGCTCTCCTGCTGCCCCCGCTAAGCTAGTTGCACAAGAGCGAGAGCAATAGCTCCATTCAGACCAAGAACCCCAGACCTTGGCGCGAAGTATGACCCACAAATCCTTTCGTAAATAAAGAAGTCTGCCAAATCTGCCAATGGCAAGCTATGAATGCCCAAAAAACATAAGAGTTCAGCCTCCCAGCATCCCTGATTGAGACTGGCACCACTGGCACCACAGTCCAATCACCCAAAAGGATGGTGAACACAGTATTGTATAGTATTAGATAGTATTAGTACTGTGGCAGGTTCCAGAGGCTGCAGGAATTCATTTAGTTGTTGCACCGATTGATGTATGTGTGTGTGTAACCTTTGGAGTCACAAGGTTCCTGTTGGATTGTTAGGCTTGAATCCTTTTTAAGCAGGGCATGCGTCTATCACGCGAACGCATGCCAACGAAGCTATGCGTGATAATGGAAGCCAGGTCTGATCAACCTGGTGTACCTGCTTTTGCAAACCTAAATATGGCAAAAGCTGTCCAATACGTTGTTTCTGCATTCTGACTTGCTGCAGTAAAGGGCTAGTGCATCGGCGATTCACCTTGGAACTTTTGTGAGCTTGGGACATGACCTTGTTTTTGGTGTCGTTTGAGGTTCTTGGGTTTACCGTTTTTCACTTACCGCATTTCACTTACCTGGCCTCTTAGGTTTTTTCACTTAGGCTGGCGTGTGGCAATCCGCAACCAAATCAGTACGCAAAATCTTAAGTGTGTCTGGCTTCATGCCAGCCCAGGGTGACCCCGAAGACTGGCCCCTGTGGACCCGTTGAACGGGGGTTTGTCTTTATCCCCCCTGCCCGGAGATGTACTCCGAGCGGACAGCAGGAGGCTTATGCCAAAGCTATTTGCCAAGAGCTGATGATTATTGCATTCCAACCTGGCAGCCATTTTGGCACACGCCTTTAGGTGACCACAGCGGCCAAAGCAGCCAGCCATTTTGGCACGGCACAAGGTGACCAGAGCGGTCAAGGCAATTTCAAGGTTCATTGGAACCTGTCGCCACCTCAGGTGCACACACAGCACGTACATTTTCAACGAGGTTTTCTAATGAGGTTCGGGTTCATTGGTTTTTGTCCCCTCGATTTGGTTTCCCTTTTCATCCTTTCCCCTTCGCACACCTTTGTTTTCCTCTTTTCTTTCGTGTCCTCCTGTCTTCATGTTCTGTCACCTCATCCTTTCTTTCGTTTGCGCGCACAGCGGTCCTAGCCTTAGTGTGTACGCGCACTTCTACATACACTTTAAACACAGGTCTCAGGTCGCCCAGGTCTTGACAATGAGGCGGGGTTCATCGGTTGTCCCTGTGCACTTGGCTTTGTCCCGTCTCGTCCTCCTTCTCATGTCTTCATCCCTTTGTCTTTGTTGCGCGCACATTTCCGCAACCGTCCTCGCCTTGATTCTTTTTGCCCCCCCTCGGGGAGGCGTGTGTGTGTGTAACCTTTGGAGTCACAAGGTTCCTGTTGGATTGTTAGGCTTGAGTCCTTTTTAAGCAGGGGGCATGCGGCTATCACGCGAACGCATGCCAACGAAGCCATGCGTGATAGTGGAAGCCAGGTCTGATCAACCTGGTGTACCTGCTTTTGAAAACCTAAGTCTGGCAAAAGCAAAGCTGTCCAATACGTTGTTTCTGCACTCCGTCTTGCTGCAGTAAAGGGCTAGTGCATCGGCGATTCACCTTGGAACTTTTACCGTATTTCACTTACCTGGCCTCTTAGGTTTTTCACTTCGGCTGGCGTGTGGCAAACCGCAACCAAATCAGTACGCAAAATCTTAAGTGTGTGTCCCTTGGGTGCTGGCCCTGAACTTACAGATGTGCAAATTCTAGCTTTGGATGCATTGGCATGAAAATATCATCAACTGAATGCCAAACAGGTGCTCTTGTCATAGCGTCATATCCAAGCCACACAATCTCTGGCTGTGCACTCTTCTGCATTCATGCATTCCTGCGCCACCAACCACATTGGCACCCCAAACACTGTTTGCAAATCATTGGAAGTATCGAAATGTGCTTTAAAGATGATCACAAGAGCTACAGACTCGACCACTATGTGAGTACCAGTTTGGCCACTTCGTGAAATGGCCGTCTCTATATAGTAACTCTCAATGACTCACGTCGTTTTGCAAACTGCGCCATGCTCAGCAAGGAATCGCAGCCAACCCCACCTTGACTTCCCCCAAACTGTCATAACAGCCGTGCCCGTCAATTCCACGTTCATAGATAATTGTGCGACCTCAAACTCAGAAGAACCAAAGTCCATGACACGTGGCGTTCAACCCAAGCAAAAACTAATACATGTATATGTTTAAGTGGATACATAACATGACATAACATTATGTATTGATATATACTGTATATATGTATATATACTGTATACATGGATGGCCTCACCATAGCAATAACAGCCCACAACGTGAACATGTCCCGTGGCACAAAAAGGCCGAATCTCGCGCAGCACATTATCCTCTCTGGAAAGTTGATCATGTTCCAGCACCTGCTAAGGCTGCTAAGGTCTGCGCTCCGTGTCTGCTGACCAACTCCGCAAGTTTTGGAGCAGTACCCCCACGCGGTCCAGTCTGAGCAAGTCAGTTCGGTCATGTTCAGTCTGAACATAGACCAAGCGAAGCATGAGACAACCATTGTTCGCACAGCACAAGGCTGGTAAACCTTTGCGAGCAAACATGTAATTTTTATCTGCCTGAGAAGACACAATCATGTCCGCTGCAAGACTGGCTATTGCAACCTGCCAAGCAAATTGTTACAAGCTCTCTGGAATCTTTGGGATGTCTTTGACTCCACTGCTCTTCGACAAAAGTTTCAAGGAAGATAGTGTCAGCTGTCGCTGAGCTGAGAGTTCAGCCCGCTGTCTCCATCAATTCATGTGGACCTCAATTGGTGAGCTAACGCATTGCTCGCATTTTCCCACATCCACATTCGTCTACTGTAAATACCACTCCACTGCGTCAGAAGCTGACAGGGGTCACCGCCACCAGACGGATAGCGATGCACCTGCTCAAACAAAGTGTATACACCACTACTAGACATGCACAAATGTCCTTATACGTGTGAATGTCAAAGCAAACCACCAAACACATTGCTCAAACCACGGCTCCAGATCCAACGATGGGAGTGAGAGTGCAACAAAGTCTCTCATGAAACCCTAAACTAGGTTTCCGGTCACACCCTTGGTGTTTGAGCCCTAATAAGACCCCCCAAAAATAGAATATGTGTATAGTATGTATGTATGTGTATATATATATACGTATGTAAGTATATAAACATGTCAAAACAACAACAACAACAACAACAACAACAACAACAACAACAACAACAACAACAA